CCCCCCCCCCCCCCCCCCCCCCCAACCCGGCTCGTTGGCTCACTCAAGACAATCACTAACAAAGGTTCCCAGAGCAATCTCAACATGCGAGCCAACATCATGTACTTCATCGAGCACTTTCTCGACATGGCCTCCAAAGACGGACAAGAGGATTACATCCGCATGATGCAGCGGGACATTATTCGTGTGGTCGATGCCGTGGCGCCGGATGACGGGTCAGGGGCGGCTAACGTCAAGGTTGTCCGCAAGGTTTGTGTTTTTGCCTTTCTCACCCGTCTTCATCCCCCCAATCCTCAGCCAATGCTAAAAAACACACAAACATACAATAGGTCCTCCAAGCCCTCCACGCCAAATCCTTCCTCGACGCCACCATCCTAACCGATATCTTTGAAGTCCTCCGCGAACGCGGCGAATCCTACGTTTCCTCCCAAGGGGACCTCGTCCTCTCCCCTTCTGCCAACAACAACAACAACCTCTCAACAGCAGCGGGATACGATACCAACATGCCCCCTTCGCAAACCGCCATCCACTCTTCCTACCCTCCTCCTTTTCCTCCTTCCTCCACAGCAGCAGGTACCCTCCCCACCAGCACCAACGCCGCCGCCGCCGGCGGACCTTCCTCTAGCAACCAGCATAGCAATCTGAGTAAACGCGGCGGAGGCGTCAACACCGCCGCCCCTCGTCTCGACAAGAAACAAGTCGAACAACGTATCGAGGAGGATCGTGAGCGGCATAAACGGCTGAGGGAGAACATCTGGGCGGTGCCGAGCGGGGAGGAGATGGATAGATTGCTGGAGGAGACGTCAGAGTTGGGGGATGACGACATGAGAGCGATATGGGAGGAGCAGGAGGAATGGGAGAGGAGTTTGCAGGCGGGGATTGGAGGGAGTGGTGGTGGTGGTGGTGGTGCGGGGTGTGGGCATACTACTACCAGTAACGGTGGCGGGGGTGGGAAGAATGGTGGTGCCGCCGCCGGTGCCAATGGGGTATCAGGGAAGGCGGAGGGAGGGAGGAATGGAAATAAAGAAGAGGAGGAGGTGAAGAAGGTCAAGAACGGGGGTGAGAGGGATGCTAGTACGAATGGGGATAACATGAAGGAAAAGCCAATGTCGATTGGAGGGGAGATTGCCGAGATGGCGAGGAGGAAGCAGTTGCAGCTGCTGGAAAAGGAGCAACAGGAGAGGCAAGATAAAGATGTGGAGATGACTTCGGGTTAGGGAACCGAGAAGAGAACCGGGGAATTCAAGACCAGTAGGAATGACACGGGTGGATTTGGATACAAGAGACGCGCTGGTAGGAATGCGATAGAAAGAAGAAAATTGAAGGAGGCAAAGAGAAGGATGTTGAGAAGGCTGGAGTGAAAGAAGGTTGAGAATAAGAAACAAGGAAGGGGAAGTTTTGTGATACAGATACATGGGGTATGCATGAGATGGCGTTTATGTTTTTGGCTGTTTAGTTATCTTCGGTATCCAAAAGCGAAAGTGGGAAGATACTACTAGCTCAAAAGCGGCATATGGTCAGGGTCATATTTGATCGTCGGCAGAAACTCTTGTTTTCGCTGGCAACCCGTTCTTCTATCCATCCCAGTTCTCGTAGTATGATATAATGTTACATGTTTCATTGCTTTTTGTACACGTACAAGTGGTATATGTTGTTGTGAGGAATGTGTGTCCGCCACTCCCCCTTTCCCCCATGAGGATATAATGTAGATGAGACCAAGAATCCCCCTCTATGTGTTTCCCAAGGCCCTGGAATTTCTTCCAACTCTGTCCGTCATGATCATCATTATAGGAAAAGAAAAAGAAAATATCTTTCCGGCATCTGTGGTGTCTGGAAAAGATCTCCTCGTTTGGTTCTTTTTCTGCGGGGGAGGGACGTGACCATCCTACAAAACAACAACACACGCACACACACACACGGGCGCCTTCACCCATTACACCACCACACAGAGACAATAACCATAGCAACCACCCTTTTACTAGGCAGAAGCAGTTTAATCCATGGTGACGGTGGCGCCGAGCTCCTTCATGGCGGCGACAATCTTCTCGGCATCCTCCTTTGGTACCGACTCCTTCATGACCTTGGGCGCGCTCTCGACGAACTTCTTGGACTCTACTAGGGAGAGGCCGAGCAGGTTCTTGACCTCCTTGATGACCTTGGGCTTGGCGGCGGCGTCGAACTTCTCGAGCTTGAGCGTGAACAGGGTCTTCTCGGCAGCGGCAGGGGCGGCCTCCTCCTCCTCAGCGGGAGCGGCGGCGGGGGCAGCGGCGGGGGCGGCAGCGGCGAAACCACCGACGGGGAGATCGGGGATGTTGAGGCGGGACTGTTTTGTGTAAAGAAGAGAGGGAGTGAGTGTTAGTGTTAGTGCCCATGTACATGTGCGACTTGAGTCTAGTATAAGATAGGTCTGTCTGTCTGTCTGTCCGGGGCCGGGCCGGGTCGGGTCGGGGCGCAAAACATCCGGAACCTTGAAACATGCTCCGATCGGGTTGTGTGTCCCGGTTCCCGGCTCCGGGTTCTTCTTCTCGTGCTTTATTTAAATCGGGCGTACCTTGAGGCTGGAAACAAGCTCCGAGGTCTCGAGGAGAGTCAGGGTGCTGATCTGGTCAACGATGGCGGCAATCTTGGGGTTGGCGGCAGGGGCGGCGGTGGACTCGAAGCGCTTCTGGACGAGGAGGGAGCTCGAGGCCCGGGTGGATGCGCGGAGCTGGCGGGCGGCGCATTGCGCGGCGAAGCGAACCGAGAGAGACATTGTTGGTGTATGTGTGTGTTGGTGGTGGGTTATGGATGGATAGAGAGAGAGGAGTCGGACTCGGACCGGAGGAAGGAAAGAGAGAGGGCGCGCGGGGGCGGTCGGGTTGGGGTTCTCTTTTTGGTGAAGGAGGCTTGCCGTCGACGTCGACTTCGAGGATCGTACAACCGAACCGTCCAACAACTAAACGGAGATATTTTTTTGGGGACGTTGTCGCGCGCTCCCGGGTGCTGCGAAATCTGGGACCCACCGCTGGCAGTTGGCAGCTTGGTGGTTTGGGTGTGCAAGTTGGATCTATGACGGCTGGCTGACCCAAGCTGCAGCTGGAGGGGAAAACCCAAGCTGCCTGCCCCGCGCGAGTCTGGGGATCAGGTACCTCTGTACCTGGAAGCCCACTGAAGACGCGCTAAAGGATGGGCCCCTGTCATCCCAAGCGCGCCCCTGCTGCCGCTGGGCTGTTCGTCCCACCCAGACTAGGTTCCACTTTTAAAGAAGACGGCTCCCTTGCCTGCCGCAGCCGACTTACACTACTACACATCAGTCCTGGTAAGTTCGTTAGCGTGGTACTTATCAGGGTAGTAAGCAGGGGGCCCTGTAAATGCCTTGTAACCTTACCAACCATAGAAGATGGGAGGGGAGGCCTTGGGTGGTGGGTGCCCGATTATAGTGGTTGAGAGGTTTGTGTGCGGGTGTTTAGATCTCTCCGGCTAACTCTTACTTACCTTGAACGTAGGCAGTTTCGGCCAATCAGATCGCGTAAATAGTCGTGTCCTCGCTTACAACCACCCTGTTACCCCCCTACAAGAAGATGTGGGGCATGTAGGAGGCTAACAAACTTTTAAGGACTGATGTGTATGTACACTAGAGTACACCCCAGCACATGCGCCTAGCGCTAAGTAGCATGTACCCCACTATCGTTCAGTGCGATAAGGAATTTCATGTGGGAAAAAGTTCCAAACGGGAGGAAGCGAAGTTCAATGGGCAAAAAAGTTGGAGAAAAAAAAAGAGACCAAGAAAAACATCAACGTTTTTCACAACGACGACGACGACGACGACGACGACGACGACGACACCCACACCAACCCGTCCGTCGCTTTTCTCTGGCCAATATGGCCGTGATCGATGTGAGCCAGCAGAGGGCGTCGCTCCTTAGCGATGCGACCACCTTGGACCTCTTGCCGCCAGAGTTGCTGCTCATAATCCAGGATCACCAATCGACCAAATTCCTCGATGCCATCGCCAGCGCCGCTCTTGTCTCGACAGCCACCGACCGCATCTTTACCCATTTCGAGTCTGTTTTTGCCGATATTTGCGCCAGATGGATTCTGTCTTCTGCAAAACTCGATACGCGAGTCCTTGCCGCTTTCGCAAGGATATTGCCCTTCGCCCCGTCGCTGTCCGTCTTCCTCGTGTCGCATCTTCGAGGAGGATCTTTTGGTGGTGTTAATGGTTGTAACCACAACAACAAAAACAACGACAATGATGCTTCTTCAGAACTTAAACCTCTCGATTCCCTTGACCTAGCTTCGATCCGCCCAGATGACCTCCCAATTGTCCTCCTAGCCCTCTGGAGGCTCAACAACTTTGACAAGCGCACCTACGCCGGCTTGTCAAAGCCATCCCAAATACAGACCCTGTTCGCACACGAGAACCCCATCGTCCGATACCTTGCCGTCCGAATCTTCTGCCAGCTCCATAATGCCGCCGATGTCAAGATCGAAGCCCTCCTCGAAAAGCACATACCCAAAGATACCAGCCTTGTCGCAGAGCTCGACGGGCGCGAAGCCGACTATGCGTTCCTCAGTCTACACGAGGATTCTAGACGTGAAGACATTCAGAGCTTTCGCAGTAAATCCCAGCAAACTAGTGCGGTTGACGATGCGATTGTCGAATCAAATATCACAAACATCCCAGAACAGAACCTCACTCCTCTAGTTGTCAAATATGGACAGACAGTCCTCCCGCGTCCCCTCGGCCCTGTGACTGCTCCCACCACCCTCGCACTTACCCCAACGACTGTTGAGAACCTCGAGAACCTCACCGGGTGCCTGCAACGACCCGGGCCTATCCTCCTCCACGGCCTGTCCGGTTCCGGCAAGACCTCCCTAGTCCACGAGATTGCGCGCGAGTTAGGCAAGCAGAAGCAACTAGTGACACTACACCTGAACGAGCAAACCGACGCTAAGATGCTGCTTGGACTATATACCACCGATTCGAAGCCCGGTTCCTTCTCGTGGCGCCCAGGTGTGTTGACCACTGCCGTCAAGGAGGGAAGATGGGTCTTGATTGAGGATCTCGATCGCGCACCAACAGAAGTCATGAGCACATTGCTGCCTCTCATTGAGCGAGGAGAGCTGCTAATTCCTGGACGCGGTGAGACCATACAGGCCACCGAAGGCTTCCGCATATTTGCTACTGTCCGGACGCTACTCGGCATGAACGACAAGGAGAACCTACCCAGCTTGATTGGTCTCCGTCTCTGGCAGCTTACGCACGTCAAGGCCCTTCCCCAACAAGACTTGAAGGATGTCATCAACAGCAGATACCCCTTGCTTCACAAATACGTTCCAGGAGTGTTGGCGGTCTTCGACGCGTTGCTGGCGGCCACCAGCGGTTCGACCCGTTTGTCGCTCGGTCGCATGGTCTTCGAGCGGCCACTCGGCACAAGAGATCTCCTCAAGTGGTGCGGGCGCCTAGATGAGATTCTCCGTGCTTCCGGCTGCAAGACTGGCGAGGAGCCCATTACCGATACTACCAGGGACCGCATGTTCCTCGAAGCAGCCGATGTTTTCGTTGGTGGAGTCAAGGAGATCCAAGCGCGTAATATTCTAATAGGTGTCATTGCGAAGGAGATGCATCTTTCTCCCGAGAGGGTTGAGCATTATTTGACGAGCTACGTCCCCGACTTGGAGGATAACGAGTCAAGACTGACCATCGGCCGCGTCTCGTTTGCAAAGGGGAGGAAAACCAGCCGTGGGGCCAAGAACAAGAGGCCTTTCGCCACCACCACTCATGCTAAGCGGTTGCTGGAGCAGATTGCGGTTGCTGTAAGGCACAAGGAGCCGCTCCTGTTGGTCGGTGAGACGGGTATCGGTAAGACTACCGTGGTTCAGCAGCTGGCCGAATCACTTGGTCACCAACTTGTCGCCGTCAACTTGTCCCAGCAAAGTGAAGCTGGTGACCTTTTGGGTGGCTTCAAGCCCGTTAGCGCACAGACCCTCGCCATGCCTATCAAGGAGGAGTTTGAGGATCTATTCGAGAGAACCGGCGTCTCTGCTGAAAAGAACAAGGCTTATCTGGACGGGATCAACAAAAAGTTCGCCAAGGGCAGGTGGAGAGAGGTCTCCAAGGAGTGGCGCAAGGCTCCCAAGATGTTCGAGCAGATCCTCGCCAAGTTCGAGAGCATGCAAGCAGCCAAGACCGTAGAGGCAGAGGTTGCGGAGGAGAACCAGGAGCAGGGCCCAGCCAAGCGTCGGAAGACCGAGTCCAGCAAGCTCCAGCGCCTGCGGGATCTCAAGGCTCGTTGGGACTTGTTTTCGCAGAGTCTTGATCAGTTTGATAGACAGGTCGCGGCTGGTCCTGGCGGCTTTGCCTTTGCTTTCGTCGAGGGAAAGATTGTCAAGGCGGCGAGAAACGGTGACTGGGTCCTGCTTGATGAGATCAACTTGGCCTCTCCTGATACCCTGGAAAGCATTGCTGGCTTGTTCCAGACCAATCCCTCTCTTTTGCTCTCGGAAACGGGAGAGATTGAGAGAATCCAGGCGCATCCAAATTTCCGCGTGTTTGGTGCCATGAACCCTGCCACAGATGTGGGCAAGAGAGATCTTCCCATGGGGCTGAGATCCGTGAGTTGTTCCGTTCTTCACAGCTTAAAGGACAGCTGCTAACCAAGAAAATAGCGTTTCACTGAGATTTATGTCCAAAGTCCTGATCGCGACAAGAAGGACCTCCTCACAATCATCAAAACGTACCTCAAAGGAAATAACAGCAGTATTGACCGTTTGTCTGACGACATTGCTGATCTCTACCTTGAGATCAAGAAGCGTGCTGAAGCAAAACTACTGGTCGACCAGGCCAATGAAGTGCCGCATTTCAGTTTGCGTACCTTGACCCGTGTTTTGACATACACCAACGATGTGGCTCCTTTTTACGGCCTCGAAAGAGCTGTTTATGAAGGTTTCTGCATGGGCTTTACAACCTTGCTGAGCGAGGAATCAGAGAGGACAGTTATGCCCCTTATCCAGCAACATCTGCTGAAGAAGGCTTCCATCCTGACTAATCCTCCCAAGAGACCTATCGATGGCAAAAACTACGTCAACTTCAAAAACACAAACAAAGATCACCAGTACTGGCTGCTTCAGGGCAATGAAACGCCAATTGAGCGTCCAGACTATGTCATCACTCCTTATGTCGAAAGAAACCTATTGAACTTGGTTAGAGCTACGTCTACTCGTAGATACCCCATCCTCATCCAGGGTCCTACTTCTGCGGGTAAAACCAGTATGATCGAATATCTCGCCAACTATACCGGTAACAAGTTTGTGAGAATCAACAACCACGAGCATACCGACTTGCAAGAGTACCTTGGCACCTACGTCTCGGATTCCAACGGAAAGCTAAAGTTCCAGGAAGGTATTTTGGTTCAGGCCATGAGGGAAGGATCGTGGATTGTCCTCGACGAATTGAACTTGGCGCCGACCGACGTCTTGGAGGCTCTCAACCGTCTGCTTGATGACAACCGTGAGCTTCTCATTCCCGAGACTCAAGAGATCGTCAGGCCAGCGGAGAATTTCTGCCTCTTCGCTACCCAGAACCCTCCTGGTCTATACGGTGGTAGAAAGGTGCTGTCTCGTGCCTTCCGCAACCGTTTCCTTGAGCTTCATTACGACGACATTCCCGAGAGCGAACTGGAGACCATTCTTCAGAAGCGCAGCCGCAACACCGCTCCCTCCGACTGTCGCCGCATCGTCCAAGTCTATAAGCAACTTACCCGTCTCCGCCAGGAGAGCCGTGTTTTCGAGCAAAAGAACTCTTTCGCCACGCTTAGAGATCTCTTCCGATGGGCACTGAGAGCGGCCGAGACCCGTCAAGACATTGCCGACCACGGCTTCATGCTCCTTGCCGAGCGTGTCCGTAAGCCCGAGGAGCGTGATGAGGTCAAGAAGGTCATTGAGGAGGTGTTCAAGGTCAAGATCGACCCCGATCAGCTCTATGATCGCGACACAGCGCCCGAGTTCCGCGGTACTGGTGGTAACAAGAACAACAGCCAGGGTGTGATTTGGACCAGAGCTATGCGTCGTCTGTACGTCTTGGTTAAGCGCGCCATTGTCAACAACGAGCCGGTCCTGTTGGTTGGTGAGACTGGTTGCGGCAAAACAACTGTCGTTCAGCTTCTTGCGGAATTTGACAAGAAGGAATTGCATATTGTCAACGCTCATCAGAATACCGAAACTGGTGATCTCATTGGTTCTCAGAGACCTGTCAGAAATAGGGGTGCTATTCTTGACGGCTTGCTGAGGAGCTTGGAGCAGGCTGCTGCTATCCTTGGCCAGGAGACGGGCGATATCGACCAGATGCAGGCATGGTATCAGTCTCTTACTGCCGATGACCTGGCTAAGCTCCCCGAGGAGTTGAAGATCAAGATTCAGTCCGATGCTGCCAGAAGCAAGGCGCTCTTTGAGTGGAGCGATGGTAGCCTTGTCCACGCCATGAGGGAGGGTACTTACTTCCTTCTCGACGAAATCTCTCTGGCTGATGATTCCGTCCTGGAGAGATTGAACTCCGTGCTTGAGCCTGCTCGCACTCTTCTGCTTGCGGAGAAGGGCATCACCGACTCCTTCGTCGTTGGTGCTCAAGGTTTCCAGTTCTTCGCTACCATGAACCCTGGTGGTGACTTTGGCAAGAGGGAACTGTCGCCTGCCCTGCGTAACCGTTTCACTGAGATCTGGGTGCCTGCTTTCACTGATGAGGAGGATGTCCATGACATTGTCGTCTCCAAGCTGGATGCTAAGTACAAGAAGAACCTGAAGGGGGTCAAGACGCCAATTTCTCGTATCATTGTCAACTTTTCGTCCTGGTTTGGCAAGACTTTCAGGTCTTCGTCCACAACTGCCCTTTCAGTCCGTGATATCTTGGCTTGGGTCCAGTTCATGAACATTTGCAACTTCTCCTCTGTCGAACTTGCTCTCCTTCACGGTGCTGCCATGGTCTTCATTGATACCATTGGTGCCAACCCCTCCGCGTTGATCGCCGTTGATCCCAGGACAATGGATATGCAGAGACAGGAGTGCCTCGAAAAGCTCAGCGAACTGTGCGGTTCTGATCTTGCTCATCACTATTTCCAGGAGCCGCAGCTCAAGATGGACGAGCAAGCCCTTGTCATTGGTGACTTCAGCATCGAGAGGTTATCTAGCGCGGACCCTAACTCTGGACGGGAGTTTGGTGTTCCTACCACCAAGATGAACGCCATGCGTGTCATCAGGGCTCTTCAAGGCACCAAGCCAATTCTTCTCGAAGGTAACCCCGGTGTGGGTAAGACTACGCTTGTCACCGCTTTGGCTCGCGCTTGCGGCAGACCCTTGACCAGAATCAACCTGTCCGACCAGACTGATCTCATGGATCTGTTCGGTACCGATGTTCCCGTCGAGGGTGCTGAAGCCGGCAACTTCTGCTGGAAGAACGCTCCCTTCCTGGAGGCCATGCAAAACGGTTCATGGGTCTTGCTCGATGAGATGAACTTGGCCTCTCAGACCGTTCTCGAGGGTCTCAATGCCTGTCTTGATCATCGTGGTGAGGTCTACATTTCCGAACTTGATCAGGTTTTCAAGCGCCATCCCGATTTCAAGCTCTTTGCTGCCCAGAACCCTCACTCTCAAGGTGGTGGCCGTAAGGGTCTTCCCAGCTCGTTTGTCAACCGTTTCATCGTCGTGTACTCCGATGTCTTCACCAAGCAGGATTTGCTCTACATTACGGCCAAGAAGTTCGACAAGATTGGCGGCGAGACGCAGACGAAGCTTATTGAGTTCATGTCCAGGCTTGACGATGCCGTCGTCACTGCCCGTTTGTTCGGTGCTCAGGGCTCGCCGTGGGAGTTCAACTTGCGTGATACTCTTCGGTGGGGTGACCTACTCACATCCGACAATGCTCTTCTCAGCGGCAGGAAGCCGGATGATTTCCTTGATGTGATCATTCGCCAGCGTTTCAGAACCGAGCGGGATCGTGTTGAAGTCGACAGGTTGTTCACTGAGATCTTCCAGCGTGCGCCTGAGACTCACAGCCTCTACCACGACATCAACTCCTCCGTCTCTCAGGTTGGCCTTGCTACTCTACAGCGCAACCAGCTGTCGCAGCCAACGCCGTTCCCCTCTATCGACCCCATTCACAGGCTTAAGGAGATTGAGAGTATCTTGATCGCCGTTGAGCAAGACCTGCCTTGTATCCTTGTTGGGCCTTCCGGCAGCGGCAAGTCAGCCCTGCTTAATCATGTGGCTGCTATGGCTGGCCGGTCCCTCGTCATCTTCCCGCTCAACGCTGATGTCGATACCATGGATCTCATTGGTGGCTTCGAGCAGGCTGATCCTCATAGAGAGGTCCAGGCCAACATTGCTAAGATGAAGCAGGCGCTCCAGGACCAGATCCTCCAGGCTCTTCCTGAGCCAGTCCCGGTTGCTGCGGTTGATCTCATGGGTGCGCTCATGGCCCTTTCTGGCGAGCACCAGTATCCTGATATTCTCCGTATGATTGAGAACCTCTTCCCTGAGGCCGGTGAACTCGCTCCTCTCCTTTCCGAGACTGCTGAGCTGCTCCGCAAGCCTCTGACTCTGGAAAACCCTCGCTTCGAGTGGCTTGATGGTATCATTGTCCGGGCTGTCGAGACTGGTGCTTGGTTGGTGCTAGATAACGCCAACCTGTGCAGTGCCTCCGTGCTTGATAGACTCAACTCCCTTCTCGAGCGTCCCAATGGCTCGCTGAGCATCAACGAGCACAGCGGTCCCGGTGGCGAGCCGCGCATCTTGATACCCCATCCTGACTTCAGAATCTTCCTTACTGTTGATCCCCGTTACGGCGAGCTTTCGCGTGCCATGCGGAACCGTTCCGTCGAGATCTATCTCGAAGGTGCGCCTTGGGAGGCAAAGAAGGCCGGTCATCAGACTATTGCGCCTGTCGATGGCAGTTTGCAACGCTTCCACACTGCCACGAGGATCCTGAACGGCGCTGAGAATGTGGATGTCCTTGCTCCTCTGGCATTCGATGTCCTCTCTCTTGGTGATACCAGACTTCTCGAGGCCTTCAAGCAAGCTTCTACCAACGGCCTGATCAAGTCTCCCGCTGCTAGCCAGCGTCTCGCTCAGCTTTTGTCTTACATCAGTGCTGAAGATGCCGGTGCGCTGAGACAGGCTGTTGCCTCTCTGTACGGCTCTGCCCCTAACAAGATGCTCATGCCTCTCCACCCTCTGCTCAACTCACCAATGATCCCTATCCTCGAACAGGATCGCGAGGGTCTAGCTGCATGGATTGCCGGCTGCTACGAGCTCTACCTCGACATCCAAATCGCCCAGTCCGCCATGGAAGCTCAGCTCAGCAAAGTCAATGTCAGCAAGCCGTCCCAGCTCAACCGTCTCCAGCGCTCCTGGATTGCCGACAAGGTCGCCTCGCTCTCTCGCGACTCCACCGTCAACGCCGCCCGCTTCCTGGCCTCTATGCTCAAACTGTTCAAGGCCTACATGAGCGAGACCATCAACGAGTCCAGAGCCTGGAAGGAGCGTCGCGCCATCTTGAGGCGTCTGATGCTCTTCTGGACGCGCACCTTCGAGGCGCTCATCGTGCCTAATGCCAAGTTCGAGGAGGCCCGTTTCCAGGCGCACTTGACGCAGGGCTCTAACCTCCTGAGGAAGGCCCTTTCCATTCTGCAGGAGGCTGATGATCGCAAGATGCTTGCTACCATTTTGGAGTATCTCGAGCGCGACTTTGTCGTCGGCTTCAAGCTTTCGACTGGTCTCAGTATGGAGGCGCTGTGGAATCAGCTGCGTCCTGAGCCGGTCGCTGATCAGGAGTGTTTGAAGCAGGTCATCGAGATGGAAAGACTTGCTGATCGGTTCGATTCGCTGCGCTGGAAGGCTGACGCTTCCATCCCCACTCTGAGGAGCGTTCAAGAAGCTATGGCTAGGGCGTATACCGTCGTTCGCAGCGGAAGAGGTGATGCTTCTGCACTTGTCAAGGAGCTCGAGTCGGAGATTTCCACCCTCGAGGCCAGAATTGGTCAACATCCTTGGACTCACGAGCCGTTCTTTGCTTCCACTTTTGAGGCGCTCAGACAGGCTCTTGTTCTTCACCAAGTTACAGAGGACGGCGAGGTCGTTTTGCCCGCTCTGTCTGATATCGACGTGCTTTCCAACCTCCCCACTGTTGCTCTGATGCGTCTCCGCGCTTCGGGGTCTTCGCCGCTGCAGTTGGTCGATTGCTTGCTTGCCCAGGATAGCGAGGTTCGTCCTTGGACCGGTACCCTGTCCAGGTCGCTCTTGCTCAAGTACGATGCCACTTCCTCAGCCAGCATGCACGAGTTGCACTCTTTGGAGACCGAGTTGCCTATTATGGGCAAGATCCTCGCCAAGTCTTCGGATGCTCTGGCTACCGATTCACTGAAGAAGACGGAGCGGTTGTTGCTGAAGCTGATGGAGGAGGTGATGGCTGCTCATGGCGATGTTTGCAAGGGTGTCGTCGTGCCTTTGTTCCAGGGTCTTTTGAATGAGATGGGCAATGTCCAGGTGGCTGAGCTCGCTTCTCTCCTTGAGCAGGGAACCAACTTTGCGGTTGATACCACCCAGTGGCCCCAGCACCTCGTCGTTATCTTTGAGAGGCACTTCTACAAGGCTTTGAGAGCCCTGGCCGCCGCCGAGAAGGGTCTCCAGCCTCGCTCTGCATACACTTCCGTCGCTTGGGTTCAGTTCTCTCTTGCGTCCATCAAGCTCTTCGTTCCCGACAAGATCTTCGATCCTCACCACCGCGCTGAGATCGAGCAGGAGGAGCATCGCGAGATCTACGAAAGCCTGCAGCAACAGATCGCTGCTCTCGAGGCGTTTGAGCTTGCCTTCACCGGCCAGCACGCCGGTCTCCGCTGCAAGCTTCTCATGGAAGAAGTTGCTGGTCTTGGGGAGCCGCCTGCTGTCCAGTCTATCTACCGCCCTGGCGACTCGGAGCTTCGTGGCCTGCAGGGAGAGTTCAACAATGTTCTGAATGCCCTTGTACAGAACGACGTGGCTGCTTCGCATCTGCGTTCCATTTCCACCGACGCTGAGGATGCTTCCGAGGAGCTTTCCCTCGTTGAGAGGAACCTTGTTGCTCTTGTTGGCCGCTTCATTGGTCGCTTCAATGCCTACCAGGACTTGACGATGCCGCTGGTTAGCTTCTTGCGCTGCTTGCAGCTTGGTCTTTCGCTCGGCCAGGGTGCCGTCCCTGCCAAGAGCTCCGACGAAACCGATTTCAAGAGCATGGTCAAGGCCACACCCTTCTTGAGCGGTACTGTCTGGGATGCTGAGACTAAGAGCTTGCCTCTCCGCTCGCTTGAGTTCCTCTCATTTGTTCAGGCCATCGTTGCCGTCGAAGGTATTGACAGCTTGCCGGAAAACCTCAGACAGGCTGTGCACGAGTCCTTCTATGCTTTCCATGAGGAGTGGAGCAAGAAGCTGGAAGCCGATCGCAAGGCCGAAGAGCAGAAGAACAGCTTGTTCCGCTTCAAGGGGAGTCTGGAAGATGAAGAGGCGTTCGACCAGGAAGAATTCGATCAGCTGTTCCCTGACTACGTAGATGACGAGGAGGAGCAGGATGCCGACGCGCCCAAGAAAAAGAAACAGATCCCTCGCGGCAACCGCGACCTGTCCATCTTGCTGGCGGAAGCTCATGAGAAGATTTTCCTTTCGCCTCAGGAGCCCCAGCAGAGCATTCGCATCTTGCTTACCCAAGTTGCTCGCAGGATTGCCCGTGCGGAGCGCAACGCTGCCGCTGGCGAGCCCGAGATGGATGCTTTGCTTCTGCCCGCCACCATTCTCGCCTTCGAGGACCAGATCAAGGCCTTCAGCGCCAACGTTGACTCCAACAACTACAACTTCTACACCGACTCCATCCTCGTCGAGGTCCGGAAGGCCCTCACCCTCGTCACCGCCCTCAAGAAGCGCTTCCAGGAGCTACAAACCATCGAAGAAATCGGCCACCATCAAACTCTCGCCGATGTCGTCATCGCTTGCGACAAGGTACTTGACATGTCCATCGACGATCCCCTCGCCGCCATCATCTCCCCCATGGAAAAGCTCTACGCGCACGTGTACGAATGGCACGAAGGCGGCTGGGCCACCAAGGCTCACAAGGCCACCGTCTTGTATGAGAAGCTGCGCGATACCATCTGCGACTGGCGCCGCCTCGAGCTGTCCAGCTGGTCGAGACTGCTCGACGCCGAAGCCAAGAAATGCCACGACGATGCCAAGTCCTGGTGGTTCATCGCCTACGGCGCCGTCATCCTCCAGCCGTGCTCGTGGTTGCAGGAGGGCAAGGATCTGTATACGTACGCGGTCGAGCTCTTGGGTGCTTTGGAATCCTACTTCAACACTGCCAGTCTCGGCCAGTTCACCTCTCGCCTGAACCTTCTTAGACAGCTCAGAAACCAGTTGGAGCTGCTGATGGTAGATGAGCCTCAGTTGAGTGTCATCCGTGATGCTGTCCAGAACTTCATCACCTATCACGCCAGGTACGAGCGCAAGGTCAAGGAGGCTATCGCCGCCGGCAGAACTCCCTTGGACAGGAAGATGAAGGATGTGTTGCTGCTGTCGAAGTGGAGAGATAAGAACATCGAGGCGCTCAGGGCTAGTGCGCGCAAGTCTCATCAGAAGCTGTTCAAGCTGGTGAGGAAGTTCCGCGGTGTGCTTTCTCAGCCTGTGAGCGGCATCACCGAGCAAGGCCTTCCCGAGGAAGAGCATAAGAGCGCCATGGCAATCGTCGACAAGGTCGCTGTCCAGGCTGATCAGGAGGCTATTGCCCTTGTCTCGCAGCTCATTCCATCTCTAGAGAGGCAACAGCAGTGGACAAGAATCACCAACCTTCCCGGCGTCCTCAAGATGATGGGCAAGTTTGGCTCGCTGCCTGCTTCGGCCGTGGAGATCCCCAGCAACTTGGACGAGTACATCACCTCGTTGGTCACCGAGATGGCTGAGCTTCGCAAGGAGACTCCCCAGCACCTCACTGATGAAAACAAGGAGGCCGTGGCGCACTTGAAGACAAGGAAGACCAAGCTCTACACCGACACGCTCAAGACTCTTCGCGAGATGGGCTTCAGTCGTAACCTAGGCACCACCATCCTCGACCGCCAAAAGTCTGCTCACGCGGTGCTCGTCCACTCGGGTCTTGTTCCCCACCTGAGCGAATCGCAGCTCAACGCCATCGAGTACTTCTACCATAAGATGCTCGATTTGGCGCCCAAGTTCCGCCAGGCTACATTCGAACACAACGATGATCTTAACCGCGAGATCGTCCACCGTTCCATTGGTTTCCTCGAGGGTATTCTGTACGTTATGTTCAAGCAGCGCATGTATCTCTCGCGCACAGCTGAGGCGGAGCGTGCTCTCTCCCAAGCCATTACTTTCACCAAGGAGGTCTCAGGCCGTAGCGGCGAGGTGGCCATTCAGTCGCAGAAGAGCGTAAAGAACCACGGTCGTGTCCTGCGCTGGCTTGTCCAGATCCTCAAGTTCGCCGTCTACATGGTTGACGTCCACGGCAAGCTCGGCGAGACCAGCAACGACCAAGTTCGCAGCAAGTTGCAGCAGTGGCTCGATACGTTCGCCACTCTGGCCACCAAGCAGGAGAGCCTGCCTCGTCTGCCTACCGGTTTCAGCTCCTCCGCTCTCGAGCAGCTCCATAGCGATGCCGAGAAGGAGCTCGACGGTCTTCGCGAAAGCCTCAGTAGTCTCTTGCTTGAAAGACCCGACATGGCCTTCGTCATCCGCCAAGTCCAGCTATGGACCAGCGCTCAAACCGTCGCCATCGCCAACGAACTTCAGGAAACCACCATCGACGAGTTCGCCAAGTCCGCTCTGGACCTGTCCAGCCGCATCCTCGTCGCCCTGCAAAAGTTCCCTGAAGCCGTCAAGAACCTGCCCCAAAGCCAAGAAGACGCCGGCTGGTTCCTGGCCCACAGCGAAGGCCTCGAGAAGGCCATCAACACCCTTGCCATGCCGCGCATCACCTCCGAAGTCGACGGCATCCTCCGCCTGCTCAAGACCTCCGACCTGTCCCAGCCTGCCATCCGGGACGCCGAGACTGCGCTCCTGCGCGCCATCCTGCCCATGCTCGAGCAGTACGCCGCCACGTGCCAGCAGAACCTGGCGCAATACGCCGACCTGCACCGGTCCACCTGCCGTCTGGGCTACACCCTCAGCAACAGCTTCATCGTCATCGCCAAGCAAGGCTTCTGCTCTCCCCAAGAAGAGAGCAAGGAGAAGTCCGGCGAGTCTGGCGACGTGCAGAGCGGTACCGGTCTAGGTGACGGTGAGGGAGCAGAGGATATCAGCAAGGATATCAAGGATGACGAGGATCTTTCCGAGCTCGCGCAGGATCAGAATAACAAGAACCAGAACGATATCGAGGATAATCCCGACGCGGTGGACATGGGTGAGGATGATCTCGAGGGAGACATGGGGAGCGTGAAGGCTGAGGAGGAAGATGAGGAGAATAAGAAGGATAAGGATGGTAGTGATGATGAGGAGGATGATGAGATGGACGAGGAGGCGGGTGGTGTCGATGATCTCGATCCTACTGCTGTCGATGAGAAGATGTGGGATGGTAAAGACGAAGAGGATGCGGAGAAGGATCAGAAGGGTGAGAATAACAGCGGCAAGCAGGATGAGGATGAGCAGGCTGCTGCGGAACCAGGGAAGGAGAAGAAGGAGCAGCAGCAGGAGAGCGAGGAAGCGGTGGGTGAGGAGGAGGAAAAGAAGGAGAAGAAGGAGGGTGAGGAGGAGAACGAGGATGAGGAAGAAGGTGAGCCGGGACAGGAGCAGGAGGGTGATGCCCAGCCGCAGGAGGAACTGAATAATCAGGATCAGAACGTGCAGGAGCAGGATACCCTGGCGTTGCCGGATGATATGCAGATTGATATCAGCGATGGAGAGGATGAGGAGGAGGATAACTTGGATGACCTGGAGGATGGTGAGAAGCCGCAGGATGGAGAGATGGAAGAGGAGCAGGCGCCAAATGGTGTGGAGGAGGAGCAGCAGCTTGAGGAGCAGAAGGATGCAGAGAAGCCTGAGGAGGCTGAGGCTGAAGAGACGGATGATCTGAACCCTATGGATGAGGATAACATGGATGTGGACATGGACAAGGAGGAGGAGCAAGATGAAGACGCCCCGCAGGATTTGGACAAGGAGGAAGAGGACAAGGAGAAGGAACAACCGGGTCTGAACGATGACCAGGCTCAGGCGGATGACGACAACGCTGCTCCCAGCGATGTCAAGACGGGTGGTGGTCTTGCTCAAGATGACCAGAACGACATGCAGGACGATACTGCCGACAACAAGGCCGCCCAGCGTGAGCAAGGTGCTGTCAACAACCAGTCCTCTGACCAAGACAACGCCCCCGGTTCCAAGGGTGAGCAGTCGAGGACTGAGCAGCAAGAGGGCCCTAACGAGGATCAAGAGACCGAGGCCAGCAGCCAGCCATTTAAGAAGCTCGGTGATGCTCTCGACAGGTGGTACAGAAACCAGCGCGACATTCGCAACGCCCCCGAAAGCAAGGAGGAGCAGCAGAAGCCCGACGTCGACATGGCCAAGGTAGAATTCCAGCACTTGCAGGATGAAGACGCCGAGCCCGACACCCAGGCTCTAGGCACCGCCAATGATGAGGAGGTCCGTCCCATGGATGACGCCATGGCCATTGACACCGAGATGGAAGACGCCAACAACCACGTCTTACCCGAGGATGAACCCGCTGCCGAGGGCAACAAGCAAGAGGACGTGGACATGGAAGATGCCGAGGCCCCTGATTCCATCGACGCTCCCAAGGAGGACCGCAAAGACGGCCGTTCCGGCGTCGCCACTCACCAAGGCGCCTTCGAAGACTCTGACGATGAGGACTCCGACGCCCGGAAGGCCAGCGCAAAGGAAGGCGACCTAGACGAGGAGATCAACGAAGAATCGTCTACCCAGCTCTCCGCCATCCACCTCGAAGACCAACCACCTCGCCCCTTGCGCGACTTCAACGAAGCTCTCTCCATGTGGACCACCTTCCAAACCAAGACGCAATCCCTCTCCATGTCTTTGTCTTCTCAACTCCGCCTGATCCTCACCCCTTCGCAGTCCACCAAGCTCTCCGGCTCCTTCCGCACCGGCAAGCGCCTCAACATCAAGAAGATCATTCCCTACATCGCCTCCTCCTACAAGCGCGACAAGATCTGGATGCGCCGCGCCATCCCGACCAAGCGCTCCTACCAGATCTTGCTCTGTGTGGATGACTCCCAATCCATGGGCGACTCGCTCAACAACTCCGGTTCCGCCGGCCGCTTGGCTTTGGAGTCGCTCGTCATGACCTCTCGCGCGCTTACCATGCTAGAAGTAGGCCAAGTCGGCGTCCTCGGTTTCGGCACCGACGTCTTTGTCGCGCACCGTCTCACCGACCCCTTTGCCTCTCACGACGCGGGCGCCAGGGTCTTGCAACAATTCACTTTCAAACAAGAGGGCACGGACATGGTGAACCTCTTGCGGCGAACCATTGATCACTTCCGCGACGCGCGCCTCACCTCGGCCTCTCAGTCGGGAGGGGAAGATCTCTGGCAACTCGCCCTTATCCTGTCTGACGGTCTCGTCCAATCCAAAGACCACGCGCGCCTTCGCCCCTTACTAAGAGAGGCAATGGAACAAAGAGTCATGGTCGTCTTCATCGTCATGGACGATGCTCGGGATGCTCAAGGAAACGCCAAAAAGGGAAGCCAAAGTGTCTTGGATCTGAAAGAGGCCAGGTTCGGCAGTGATGGTATGCCGGTGATTCATCGGTACTTGGACAGTTTCCCGTTCCAGTATTATTTGATTGTGCATCACTTGGATGATTTGCCGGGGGCGTTGGCGGGCTTGTTGAGGAGTTGGTTTAGTGAGGTTAGTGCTTCTTGAGCATTCAGCCCATAAAAAAAAGGGGGGGGGGGAGGATGTTGCATACATTGCATCACGAAAAAAAGAAAATAGCAGGAAAGAGATAATACGTGTCTGGACCATAAATAGATCATAGATAGACTGGCCTTCTTGTATTAGGAGTTATTTGTTTGCTTGGTTGCTTGGTTGGTCTTGGTTGGTAGGGTAGGAGTTTAATTGATTAGCTTGTTTGTTTGTTTATTTATAACCGTTTCTTTCTCGTGTTTTCATTAGTCAAAATCAAAAAAGGGGTCGTCAGGTTTAGGTAAACAAAAGCTAGCTCCCTACCTCGGTCTCCTACTGCACAAAAACCGTGAAAACCTCTCACAATGGCTCTTCTTAAGTTTGTCAAGGTTGCATCTGATTCATTGCAAGTGGTTTTTTTTTTTTTTTTTTTTTTTTTTTTTTTTTTTTTTTTTTTTTTTTTTTTTTCGAATTCCTGCGGGCATGATTGACACTCGACTCGGCATCTCTTTCGTCTTTTTCCCAAGTGATTGAAGATGGATAGATACCATCATCCTCTCTCGGTACATTTACCTCGACGAGAACTCTTACTTGTTCAAGCGGTGATTGGTATTCACCTGTTTATTTGTTTGTTTCCACGCCGTCTCTCATCCTCTTTCTTTTCTTGTATCAGTCAAATTTCCTAAACACTGTTTTCTTTTACTCACTCAGTCAGCCAGTCATCTGCCGCCTCATCATACAAGTCAAAGTTAATATTCTTCGCAGATCCTGGTTTAACACGGTAATAGATAGCGAGGACCGACACAGAAAATCTGCTCCAGACTGAGGTAAGTGACAGTGAGTTATGTATGTATAACACTGTTTGTCTGATTTAGATCTAAACATGTCACGAGTATTCATCAGGAAGGATCATTAGAGGTTGCTTGGCAAACGATAGTCTTTTGTATATCTAGTTTGCAATTCCTTCCATTCCTCCCAGTTAATTTCTGGTCTTTCATCCCTCATCCCAATCATCACTCCCAGTCCTATATGCAATCGTGACCCTTTCACCCACCCAGATGAACTCCCTGATAACTTCCCAAATCAAATAGATCTCCTTTCCCGCCAGCCCAAAAACGCCCGAGTGATCAAAATAACGACGAGATCTAAGAAGATAGATCTCTAACCTCCCACCATATCCACCCGCCACCCATCCAACAAAGGAAACCCAATAGCCAAAAACAAAAGAGATCAAAAACAAATAAAACTTCAGATCTTGCCGCCGCCGCCTTGTTTTATGCCTTCTACACCGCTGCTTGATTGCTTGAGCGATAGTATAGTAGTGTAGTGTAGTATACCCCATTTTAAATGCCCGCCGAAAATGCTAGATAGATTGAGATGGAGATGTATGAAATGTTGAATGATTGTTGAGACAAAACATTATGGTGTAATAGTATGAGTGCGCAGTATGCGCATAGCGATCGTTTGAATATTTTGGTGAAGCTTAACCACGGATGGCATCAGCCATCCAGCCCAGCTCAGTCATCAGGTCCTCAAGACCCGAGTTGGGGGTAGGGCTGTTAAGGAAGGAAGTGTGCGAGACGGGAATGCTGGTCTCGATCCTGGGGACCACGAGAGACTTGGACCCCTTTGCTTCTTGGGGCGAAGACTGGGGGAGGCTGTAGGTGGAGAGGGTGCTCCCGACTGAACCGGCGGAAGCCTTGCGGGCCGTGCTGTAGTCAAGCATGGGAAGGGGAAGGAGGTCCTCGTCGAGGGTCTCATCCTCCTCATCGTCATCGGAGTGGTAGAAGGCGGGAGGCGAGTCGGCTGAGGACTGAGGTGAGCTGGTGTCGACGAGAGACAGCTTAGGTACCGAAAGATCGAGGCAGGGCATCGTAGAAGGGCACCTGGTAAGGGCCATAGTGGGTGTTAGAGCCTCGCCGCTTTTGACAGGCGGAGAAGGGGTAAGCGATCGTTGGGATGGCGGAGGGGAGAGGCCGGTGAACTGCATGTATTCCGACACAGCAGATGTGGCGAACATGTCGTCGTCTTCGTTCTCCTCGACGATATCATCAGGAATGGTGATGGCCGGACGTTCCACTGTCTGATACTCCTCTTCGGGTAGTTCATCATTGGACAGGAACCGGCGAAGCGACTCGGGCGACATGTCCCTGGACCTGCTTGACCCGGATGACCTAATGCTCCGAGTATCATCGGTAGGTGTTGGCAGCCTGATCTCCGGCAGGGAGGAAGAGCTTTGCTTGCGACCGAACAGCCTACGTGGCGAGAACCAGCTGGAGCCCGGTGAGATAGACCTGGAAGAACGCTTGAGTTCGGGTAGAGGGGCGGTAGCGGCACGGGAAGCAGCGTCCATTAATGAGGCGACGGTGGGTTGCGGCGTGCTGTATCTGTCGGCTGGATTCATGGTCATGTAGTTTTCCTCGCGAAGAGAGGTGGTGGATGCGCTGCGGTTCCTGAGGGTATGCTCGACAGGAACGTAGAGAGTGTTGACAGTCTGGCCGGGTAGATATGGACAGTTATTTGTTGAGGGAAGAGTAGGATCATGTGTCTCAGCCGCGCCATCTAGCTCGTACTGGGGGTCTCGGTTAATGACAGGGGCCGACGGACGTATCTCTGGACAAGGACTCACATAAAAGTAATATGTCTGGCCCATCTTCAAGCCGCCGTTCCGTTTTGGGGTTCGGCCAGAGTCACCATCGCAGATGATATCCTTGAAGGTGTAACATCCCTTCCACTGGCCTCTGTCGCGTCTGACGTCACGCTCCATTGTATAAGGTTTACCGAAATTGTCCCAAGAACCGACCAGGTGAACAGCGTTGACCGAGGGATGAGTCCGTCTATTTCTCGTGTTAGTCTCGTCGACGAGGGTGTGAAATGTGGGCGCAGATCAAAAGGCTTGGGGTATGAGAGGAGTAAAAAGTGGATGAGGCTAAGTGTAGGCTGCAATATTCCCAATACCACGCCAAGGGTCATTACGGGAATTGACCAATAATGGCTGTTTCCCTTGACTTGAGCTGGGTCAGGTCAAGTAGGAGGCCACGAGCGCAATCACCGTCAGACTTCGGTCTTGGATGAGATTGAGCTCTGGCGATCTGCTGAGTAGAGGCTGGCTTGGCAGAAATTCTCAGCTCGCCCAGGCTCGCTTGCTTGGACCCCGGCCTGCGTGGTGATGATCATGGGATTTTGATCGATGGACGCCGAGATACTCAATTCTCATCGAACAGGGCATGGGGATCCGGTTTCCCGATCGACACCTGCTGGCACCGTCTCCAAAACCAAAAAGAAAAACTGGGAAGTGGAACATGTCCAGACGTACAATATGAGACGGGTCTTTTACCGAAAAGCGAGAGGGGGTGTAACCGAGTTGCGTGAAAACGAACGATGGGGAACGAATGACTGACCGCACAGCAGTCTCGCAAGCGAAGTGAAGCTAAGGAAAGAGGGGGAAGGAAAAAAAAAAAGAAAGAGAGATTATAGCACAAGTTTCAAAGAACTCACAACATAAAGGTAAAGAGGGTTGTTGTTGGGTCCATGGCGGGCTTTTTAGAGTTGACTCGCCACGCTTTAAGCGCACGGGTCTAGACAATATAAGTGAAGTTTCGCTAAGAGCGTCGGGCGGCTGCGTTTCGTTGGAAGCTTCTGAAGCAGATAGAAGGTAGTATTGCTCAATGTTGTTGCTGTTGCTATTGATGAAGGGTGAAACGGCTGAGCCAATCAGAATCCAGAGACTGGTGCGGAAGCGCCGTACTGCTTCAGAGTCGAACCCGGGGAAGCGATTTGAGTGGACGGCGCTTAAATGGTGTGTATATGCGACAACGAAGTTTGGTTCTCTTGAAACTTGACGCACGTGTTTCGAAGTCGACCAAGAGCCAGAGATTCGACAAGACAAGCGAGGAGAAGATCAGGGACCGGAGCCGCCGTGGCAAAGACAGAGGGAGGGGATTGCGAGGTTGATTGCTGTGGGGGGACCGGGGGAGGTTATTGTTGGCAATAAAAAGAAAAAGTCGAATGCCAACACACACACACACACTTGTTGACACAGCAGCACGATGGATCCTGGTAGGTAGTACCCCAGGATATGTTGTTGCAAAAAGTCGTCAATACTATCCACCTTGTCGGCGACCAAATCCATCAAGATCAAGAGAAAATCAGGGTTCCCAGATCTCAAGGGGAGAAAAAAGATGGCAGGGCCCTTGCCCTATTTCAAATATCGGGACAGCTCGCTTTTCGGCGAATCTCCTTCGTCAGCCGGTGAGGAGAAGAGTGCAGGTTTTCCCAGATAGGCTTGGGGTGTGCAGCTGGGCTGGGGACCGAAAGCGAGGTGGAAAGCTGGGGGGGGGGGGGGGGGGGGAAAAAGGAAAAACCTTTTGCCTGGGGGTTTCCAAACGACGCTTGCAGTTTCCCGGGTTTGCGGGTTGGAAAAAATGGCCTGGGGGGGGCCAACTGGGAACCCAAA